GATAAACTACCTCCGCGTCCTGGGTAAGACGATAAACTACATCCGGCAGCAAGGTTTCTTTCTGATCAGGACGTTTTGAGCAGCGTGGAACGACCTCTTAACTGCTGGTGTTCCCAGGTCCATCCTGACCCCCGGTGGTAGCACCTGTTAGTGTATCAGCTATGTGCAAATAGTTAACCCCCAAAATGTGATCAAAACACTATGAAAGCGTAAAAATAGGTTTTAATACCAGCAATAGATTTTTGTAAAAAATTATTGCTAGCAATGAATTTTTGAAAGAAAAAATTATTACCAGCAATACATTAAAAATATATCAGCAATACATTTTTGAACAAAAATATTACCAGCAATAAAAATCGTGTCGGTATTAAATAAACCCATTGAGGTTAAGCCGTAAAGCAAACCAAACTAAATCAACATTTTTTTTTTACTTATAGTGATGAGATAACACGCGTCTTCGTCACAAAGATCAATTTGATTGTGATTGATTTTTATAAGCGCTCCGCTATTGTCCTTGTACCAGACTAGGGAAGTTTACTAAATAGTTATAAAACAGATGCCAATAAATTTTCAATAAATAACCCATTTACGTTCTATAAAGCGACTGGATAGTGTGCCTTCAGTACAGAAAGCCAAAGGCAAAGCTTTCATCATTTAATATTACGCCAATTTTCATATGAACAAGATAACTTTAAACTAAATATTAAATATTTACTAACTCCATTTGAGGAAATTAAAAATGAATTTTTTTTTCTTACTTTATGTTTCTCTCCTTTAATCTAGTGTAGGGTTAACCATTATCTACCCCTCCTGTCCGTCTAACTGCCTCTTAACTTAATCCTCTACCACAAGTGACCCCAGGGCCTTGTACAGGGTGAACTTAACTGTAAAAAAAAAAAAAAATTCATGATTCCCAGCCTGTGTGTATTTCGATACAACTCGTATTTCTCAGTTTGAATACACACCAATATATATATATATATATATATATATATATATATATATATATATATATATATATATATGACGTCACACATTATGAAATGGACAAAGTCCGACAATTATTTTAAGACATTTTATGTTTATACATTCTTTTGTAGATACAAATATTTAAGTAAATGCTCTGTTTATAATAAACAGTATTAAACAACATTTCTCGGACATTCAGGCCGGTAAATGTTGTTTAATACCGTTTATTATAAACAGAGCATTTACTTAAGTATTTGTATCTATAAAAAGAATGTATAAACATAAAAATGCCTTAAAATATCTATCTATATATATATATATATATATATATATATATATAGTAAAGTTAACAAATCCATTGGTATATAATCCAAGTAATTAATATAAAATGTTAAAACGTATTCTTTTAAAGCATTCAGAGTTAAATTTCAATTTCCGACACGAACTCAGTGCATACCGGGGTGTGTGTGTTGATATATATATATATATATGTGTGTGTGTGTGTGTGTGTGTATATATATATATATATATATATATATCAACACACACATATATATATATCAACACCTACACACACACACACACACATATATATATATATATATATATATATATATATATATATATATATATCTATGAAATCAGAACGAATGGAGTTCAATGCAAAAATAGCGCAATATTCTTTATTTTAGGATATTACTTAAAAATATGTAAAACTAAAAACACCAGATGAGATGTCTTAATACACGTCGAAACATGATTGCATTTGTGTAGCGATTTTTACTTGTTTTGATCTAATATCCTAAAATATATATATATGTATATATATATATATATATTATTTTAAGTTTTATTTGTATAAAATTTAATTATTATCATTTTCCGTGATTACCTTTTTTTAAAGACAGTTTCGGCCGATGTATCTTTCGGCCTTCACTAGGTGCCCAATTAAACCTGTACATTATTCTTTTCCTGCTTAAAAATAGTACTAGTTCGTCACTGCTTCGACCACATTTCCCCCGGGGAGTGGAGAATTTATTAACAACAACTTACGCTAAAATGTAATATACGTAGAATGTATCGGGGCTGCTGCTATAAAAAGAAAACTACAATATATATCAATTCGACATTTAATCCCCTTCGAAGCAATTTCTTTCTGGAGTCACTCACTTCATCCAGCGTTAATTCCATGGTAGGAAGGATACTTGGAACTCCATTTTTTTTAGATTTCTTTGAAATCTTGTAATCTAGTTCCTTTCAAGTGGGATTTGATTTTTGGAAAGAGGAACAAGTCGCATGGGGTTAGATCTTGTAAATATAGTTGTTGTCGGACCATGTGGAATGTTATGAGACGTTTGGCAAAAGTTAAAGCGGAAGTGAGCAAGAACGTTATAATTTAGCGATAAATTTCAATCTGTGCCAAGTGTCACCGTTGGGACCGCTCGTTTTTAAATTTTTTGATTACGATAATTGGTGATTACGATAAAATTGAGATAAAATTCGATAATGTCATGAGAGTGATATTTATAAGCACTTTACTATTGTCCTTGTACCAGACAAAGGAGAATGAGTAAGTAGTTATAAAACAGATGTCAGTAACCTTTCATTTAATATCCCATTTGCGTTTTGCTAACTGGCGGGTGGGTGTTCCTTAAGTGCAGAATGCCGAAGGCAAATTTTATTTGTTATTTAATATTACGCCAATTTCCAAATGAACAAAGTAACTTTAAACTAAATAGTATCTAGTTCTTTTCAACGACTATTTTCTTCGTATATTAAAAATGGCTCAACCGCCATTTTTTATGTCTGTTTTACTAAATTATGACTTACTTCATGAGAAACGACTGAACTATTGTGGCCCTGTGTGTGCGTGTGTGTGTGTATCTGTGATGTGTTTATGTGTGTGCGTGTCTGTGCGTGTGAGAGCTTTTGTGTGTGTGTGTCTGTGTGAGCGTTTGTGTGTGTGTTTATGTGTGTGTCTGTGTTTGTGCGCGTGTGTGTTTCTGTGTTTGTATGTGTGTTTTTGTGTATGTGTGTGTTTGCGCGTGTAGATGTGTGTGTTTGCGCGTGCGTGTGTGGGGGGTGCTTGTAGCGTGTGTATGTTTGTGCGTCTTGTTTGTGTGTGTGCGTATGTATATTTATGTGTGTATGTGTGATGTGCTTATGTGTGTGATTGTGTGTGTTTGTGCGTGTGAGACCGTTTGTGTGTGTGTTTTTGTGTGTTCATGTGTGTATGTTTGCGTGTGTGTGTGTGTGTGTTTATGCGTGTGTGTTTGTGCGTCTGTGTGTATGTGTGTGTTTCTGTGTGTATTTGTGTGTGTTTGCGCCTGTGTGCTTTTGTGTGTTTGTGTGGGTGCGTGTTTGTGCATGTCTATGTTTGTGCGTCTTGTTTCTGTGTGTGCGTATGTATACTTCTGTGTGTGTCTATGTGTGATAAAAATATTGTTTCAAGTAATGCTATATTTAAGGGTAGCGTGTTCAATATCAGTGAGCGAGCATCTGCAGTTATAAAAGTGGACACTGGGGTCAACACCAAGCGGCGATATTTTGTTTCATGTTTATACGCAATCTTCAGGCTACGTATGTTGTGTGTTAACTCAACTATTTATATATGCTGGTCAATGATGCATGACGGGTAGTAAGTCATATATACAGTCCCCCTCCAAAAGTATTAAAACGGCAAGATCAATTCCATTCTTTTTGTTGATCTCTGAAGACATTTCGGTTCAAGATCAAAAGATGAATATGTGAATAAAGTTCAGAACTTCAGCAAGCGTTCAGAAGCTAAGTAAAGTATTAAGAAACAAGAAAAGTTTTTATTAGAAACAACTAAAACAGTCTGTAATTGCTATATAATATCAGTCCTCCTATTTGGCAATGAATTCTGGACAATTTCCTCACAGATGACGAGAAGACTTAAGGCAAAAGATAAGACGACAGATTGATGCTGAGAATACTATGGACCTAAAATGAGAGAAACCAGTAAGAAAAATGCGAAAAAAAAAAATCTAAGTGATGGATTGTAAGCTTAAATTATATATTTACGCCATTCGGTGATGGGTTGAAAGTTCGGGATTTTCATTTTAATGACATTTATTTCTTATTAATTTCGTATTTTATTTAACCATTATTTACTTAAATTTATCATTCTATATAATACTAAAAGTCTGTAATTATGTGCGAGCTTGTTTGCTTGTGTAGTGCGTGCGTCCGGCCTTTAACGATTTAAGTTAATCTGATTTAGAAAATATTTTAGGTGAATAAGATTTAAAAATACGAGTTGTTTATAAAGCCTTTTTATTTTAACTTTCTTCAAACAGACATTTTTTTAATTAGAATATTTTAAAGATAAAGACAGACACAAAGAGATCCCGCTTTGCTGTTTCGTCCAGTTGTTTGTAGGGTAATTATTTATATTCCAGCTTTCTTTAAATTAATTATTTAAAAAATATTTTTTGTCATATTTAAAAAAATATTTTCAAGTCAGTATGGTTTTTAAATAATTTTTAGCATATTAGAATAAAATATTTTAAAGTTAACTTGATTTAAAAAATATAAGTGAATAAGATTTACAAATACGAGTTGTTAATATAGTATCCATTTTCATTTCAACTTTCTTCAAACAGACAATTTCTTAATGTTGAAATCAACTTCAATGTTTTATAAACTGAACTGTTAGTGACGCAACGGATCAGAGTTAGTCTAGTTTTTATATAAAATCTTAAATATGTTGAAACTGCTTAGATTTACATATGTTCTGTCGCAAAATTTGAACAATTTTCTCTCTTGAATATAACATACATTAAAAACTATATTACACACAGAAACACAGACTGACAGACACACACACATGCACAGAAAGATAGACACATAAACAAACACATATACACACAGACATGTATATGTTCATAATTAACACCGACTGATTGTATTTATCTACCTATCTTTATATTCAAATCTAAATTTCTTTCTTTCTTTCTTTCTTACTTTCTTTCTTTCTATCTATCTCGATTTTTTCGTATCTATCTCAGTATGTTTATATCTACTTACCCACCTACTATCTACCTATCTATCACTGTCTGTTCATATCTATCTATCTATCTATCTATCTATCTATCTATCTCAATTTGTTCCAATTTGTTCCATTTCATCTCTCTCTCTCTCTCTCTCTCTTTCTCTCTCTCTCTCTATATATATAGGGAGAGAGAGAAAGAGAGAGAGAGGAGAGAGAGGAGAGAGACTGTTCATATCTATCAATCTATCTCGGTCTGATCATATTTATTTATCTCAATCTATCTATTATATATATATATATATTTATGTGTGTGTACACACACACACACACACATATATATATATATATATATATATATATATATATATATATATATATCAAATATGTGCAAACTGCTTATAGTTATATACCGTCTGTCCCAGGGATTGAACAAATTTTGAGATATGTAATGAAATGTGTGCTGAATTGCATCTTCGCATATGGCAATGAATGTTGGACAAGTTCTCCACGTATAAGGAATAAAACAGAGGCAGAAGAAATGTGGTGCTACAGAAGGATACTGAGATTTCTATTGACGGCGCGAGTAAGCAACAAGGTAGTCTTAAAGTAAATGGCACCAGAAAGAACACCTCTACTTCGAATCAGAAAACACAGCTGAAATTCCTTGGACGCTTAATGAGAAAGGAGGGTTTGGAAAACTTAAACCTCACGGGATGTATTGAGAGCAAGAGACGGGAAAGCATAGTTATTCATTTACCTGGCGTGATTGTGTGAATGAATATAACTGGAAGTCGGAGGCATTGACAAAGGGGGAAAACTACTAAGGGATACACGAGATAGAAAGTTGTGGAGAGCCATGATCGCCTGTGTCCTGAAGGGACACGGCACATAGAAGAAGCAGCAGAAGAATGAAAACGTTATAGAATAGGAACATCAGCCAAGACTTTTAACATAATATATGATAGCTGAAAGACCATCTTGTAAATTTCAAGACATTTCTAACGCAATAAATTTAAAGCCATCTCTTTTTTCCCTGTACTTCCCCACCCCCAAATCTCGACCTTATCAACGTGAACCCCCCACCTACCCACTTGATTTTTACTTTCTCTTACCGCCTCTATTAACCCTGTTTCTCAACCGCATGTTGCCTTTTTTTTTTACTGGAAAATGAGGCCAGGGGTGACTTGGTGTGACCAAACGCTTTTGACGGGTGAATGCTTCCCTCACGAGATGGAAAATGGCGAAGTGTTATAATTAATTAACAAACGAACTGTTTTAAATGAAACATTGTGTGTCGGGAAAATAAAGAATTCCTTATTTATCGTTTAGTTTTCATCTTTTCTTTTTTCGTTTTTATTTTTTTAATCAGACTGTGGATAATAAAAATAGAGGGAAATGGAAAATTGGTGGCAAAGGAATGAAGAAGATGAAAAGCAAAAAGTAACAACATTAAAATAGGAAGGATGAGGAATGGGAAGCGGGACGGAAAGAAAATAATGTTCCACTGTAAAAAGAAAAGAAAGAAAGAAAGAAAGAAATAAAGGACGAAAGAAGGAGTAACTTACAAGAATTCAGAATATATTTGATAAAGACAGGAGAAAAAGAAGGGAAAAAGAGGGAAGAAAAGAATATTATTCAAAGAATGCAGAATAATGTAAAATAATGTATAATAGCAAGAATAAATACAGGAGGAAGGAAGGAAGGAAGGAAGGAAGGAAGGAAGGAAGGAAGGAAGGAAGGAAGGAAGGAAGGAATAATGTCAAAGAATTCAGATTAAGATCAAAGAATTCAGAACAATGTAAAAATTCAGAATATGTTTGAAAAATAGAGAAGGAAGGATGGAAGGAATAATGTCAAAGAATTCAAAATAATGTAAAAGAATTCAGAACAGGTTTGAAAAACAGAGGAGGAAGCAAGCAAGCAAGGAATGAAGGAGGGAAGGAATAATATCCAAAAATTCAAAATAATGTAAAAGAATTCAGAATAGGTTTGAAAAACAGAGGAGGAAGCAAGCAAGGAAGTACGTAAGGATGGAAGGAAGGAAGAAAGGAACGAAGGAAGGAAGGAAGGAATAATATCAAAGACTTCAAAATAATGTCGAAGAATTCAGAATACGTTTGAAAATAGTGGAGTACGTAAGTACGTAAGGAAGGAGGGAAGGAAGTACGTAAGGAAGGAAGGAACGAACGAAGGAAGGAAGGAAGGAGGGAAGGAAGGAAGTAGGTAAGGAAGGAAGGCAGGAAGAAAGGAAGGAGGGAAGAAAGGAAGTACGTAAGGAAGTACGTAAGGAAGTACGGAAGGAAGGAAGGCAGGGGGAAGGAAGGAAGGAATGTATAATGTAATTTAATACTGAATGGCTTTGGAAAATGTAAGAGGTAAGATGGAAGGAAGCGAGAAAGGAATAATCTAAAAAAAATGCAGATTAGGCTTGAAAAATACAGGAAGAAAGGATACGACAGTGAAAGAGGAACACTCTACTCACGAATGAAGAAAAAGACATGAGGCAACAGCAATGTGGTTCTACAGAAGGATACTGAGAATATCATGGAGAGAACACGTGAGTAACGACGAAGTTTTAGGGAAAATGGAAAGACAAAACATTTATATTGAGAATTAGAAATAGGCAACTGAAATTTCTAGGGCACATAATGAGGAAAGAGGGCTTGGAGAATTTGTCACTCTCCGATAAGAGAAACAGTATAGAAAGCAGGGATTAACCTACCTAACGAGCTTGTGTAAATAGCTGGCAGATCCCGGATTAAGAGAGACAGCAAAAAGACAAACTTTGCTAAAGGTTACAAAAGATAGGAAGCTGTGAAGAACAATAATCGCTCACGTCCTGAAAAGACACGGTTGAAGAAAAAGTCCCTTTTGACATACTGTTATCTACCGTACCTATAAATACTAATGGGTATGTCCCAATCCTCATAAATACGTTGGACACTATTGTAAGTGTGGGTAATATGATGTCTATGTAGTCCACTACTAGCAGTGGTTTACCTACTTGACGTCGCTGGCGAGTATTGTATTTTGTTGATGTTATAAAGATTACAATTTTCAACCACAGTTATTCCTCATTCAGTAACTCTTCCTAGGTTACAAAACTCTCTATGAATCCCTTTTCATTATCTATCTATCTATCTATCTATCTATCTATCTATCTATCTATCTATCTGTCTGTCTGTCTATCTATCTATCTATCTGTTATATGCCGTACCTATGAACACTAATGGCTATGTCCTAATCCCCATAAAAACGTTGGGCGCTGTTGTAATTAGGAGTAATATGGTGTCTATGTAGTCCAACACTAGCAGTGGTTTACCTACTTCACGCCGCTGGCGAGTATTGTATTTTGTTGATATCATAAAGATTACCATTTCATTTCCAACCTCCGTTTTGGTTATTACTCGTTCAGTAACCCTTTCTAGGTTGCAATACATACTAAACAATTATTTTACGCTATTGCCGCCAGCGACAGATTACAAATTCATGTGATTTTATTTTTTACTTGAATCCACTAAATGGAATGGTTGAGACTAACTCTAGGTTGGGTGTTACTGAATTAGGTTGTTCTATGAACGTAAGAGGCGAAGGTAAGTAGTGCATATTATATGGATATGTAGGAGCGATAACCGATGATCCTAAACTTGAGGAGGTTAAGATTATAGTGATCGGGGAAGCATTCTCCCGGGAATCTGTTCCACAAAGTAACAGTTCTTGGGAAGAAGCTATCAAAATGAAACATCTTTCTTGCTTATGGAATACAAAAGGAATTTGGTTAGATTTGTCACAAAGGCAGTTATACCAGCCCTGAGAAGTTGGCACAGTTAGAATATCGAAAAGGAAGGTGGAAGGGGCAGAATTTAGTCCCACCTGTGCGGAGTAGCGGTGCGAGATGTGAAGTGAAGAATTTTGGAGTTATGTTTTGGGGTAATCCTTGTGATTAATCCCAAGGAAGGTGGATAATTCTCCAAATTTGGAAAGTTGTTTAAGAAAGCAAAAATAGAAAACAAAGAATCTCCAGAACCCTTCGTCCGTACGTTGGTTTGAGGCCAAAGGGCATATAAGCAGATGACTTTTGTGAGCTCGGAGACCTTGGGCTAAGAACCAGTATTGAGAGCCTCTGAAATCCATGTCAGCTGCCACTTTCCTGATTCCAAGACATTGAACCCAGCTCCTCCAGAAGTAAGACAAAGCCCAGTGTCACTGATTGATGAGGGAAAGGTTCATTTTTGTTGCATCACGAGCTATTTAAACCAGTTGAAGTTGAACCTCACAAAGCTCACGGTTCATTTTTCGTCGTGGAGAAACATAGCACTCTTTAAGGACTGAACCATCGCTGACAGACTGCGACCTGTTCTGAGATCAAGAACACAGCGTGGACAGAATTGGTGTGGATCGAAGCGGTCAGCAACCAACAACCAGTCTGGACCAGTGTCAGCATTGACTAGCGCAGGGTTAGCCCCGTGGTTAAAACATTGTTCTAAGGCCGCGAGGACCGGACCTTTAAAACGTGGTAACACCACCGGTGTAGGCGGCGGTGAAAAGTGTTATGAAGGTCTTGCGGCAGCCACCCACTTGACAAAGAGCATCACTACCTCTTCAAGGCACTTGATGTAGGCCTCCGTGTTTAACGATCAGTGAATTTTCCGAGCTGCCGTTCCTTCGTAATCACCATTAGACTCATCTAGCTCTTTCCGAATCCTCTGCACTGGCCACAGATTGACACACAGACACTCTTAAATGTTCGTAGTGGCGCTTACGGCGCGAATGCCAAGCAGTACAGTAAGCTGTTTCTAACTTTCTGGCGGTGTGAAGTGCTCAGACGTTGCCCGACTGAACCCACTATACTGTGCTGTCGACAAAATTAAAAACAAACTGCGTTCATTTGTAAAATTAAAGATATAAAATGGCGACAATTTACCCATCGCGCGTTGTAGTATGTCGATCATTAAATGTATTGTTGGTTATTTTGTTATAAAAACGTTTTCTTTTAATATATTTTAGCGTTACATTGTTTGACATTTTGCTATAAAAATTTATTGTCAGCCATTCTTCTGTTGTTTTTTTTTTTTGTTTTTTGTGTGTGTGTGTGTGTGTGTGTGTGTGTGTGTGTGTGTGTGTAGTTAATTATTTGTCCAGACCTGGGCCAATAACAGGTTCTATTACGCAGTGTCAAGGTAGACCTGTGAACAATAGCAGTCAAGAGGTTGTTCCACGCACTTGAAAACGTCTAATCTCCCGATCGGAGGCTTTGTTACTGGATGTAGTTCATCGTCATACCCACGACGATTGTGGATTGGCGCCACAGAATTACTAAATAAGAGAAATCACATCACTTGAGGACACACAACAAAAGCAAAACACATATATAGCCACTAGTATTCGAGGATATCCGTCTACCGGGGCGGCTAGTCAATCCTGATTGCAGACGTTTGGTCAGGCGCATTTGTGTTTATTCAACACCCACAGAGCCCACCTGTGGATTATACTGCAACTATGCTGAGCGAACCTTAGTTGCAGTTTCTGGGAAAGAGCGTGTTATCTAGCGTGATCAACGATTTGAACAAGGCCAGCACACTCAAAACCTCGGTCACGAAGATTTATGACTTCGAGCTAGCACAGTTATCGACGGGCCCTAAGGGTTCCGTTAACCCAATTTCACTCACAAGGTTTGGGTCAAACCGTGGTATGATTTTCAGGCACTTTCCAAAGGTGCCCACACGCTGGGATCGACCCCTCCAGTAGGATAACATCTGGAAGTCTCCTTCCTGATAAATCGACCATGGTGAGATTCGGACCCGAGTCTCATGGTCAGAATGCAAACGCTCTAACCACTCGGCCATTACTGGAAGAATATTGCTTAATATTGACTGTCTACGTTAGAAATAAAATTCATTTAATAATCATTTTAATGATGTTTTTCTTTTAGGGGCCCAACATTTCTTATCGGTCGCTAACTGAAATTGGTGGTTAACGTTAGAAATTAAATTCTTTTAATAATTATTTTACTGAATTTTTTTTCCTTTCTTTGCCTAAAATTTCTTTCTGTGCCTCACACAATTCTTTACTGGATGCAAAGTTTGTGGCCTCTGTCAGGGATTAAATTCATTTTTGTACCAATTTCCAGGAAATGTTTCTATTTTCTAGACTACCTGAAATTACTACTCTACCTCCCAAATTTCCTTTGTTTCTTCCTTCGAATGAGAAAAAATAAAATTAGATTTCATGCCTGTTAACCGCGTTTCACCCCTCAGAGCAGCAGCCTTACACTGCACTAAGACATAGGGTTTGCGGTACATTCAGATGTCTAAGGAAACAGCCCAGGGAACCAAACAGTCTTGGATGACTCATTATCACTGCAAATTAGCCTCGGGTGTTCCAGCGGATTGGTTGACGGATTACCTCAAACTAAAATCTAATCTTTTTTTAAAGAAGGTGACAAACGTAAAGTAACAATATTCAATAGGATTAATGAAATGAAACATAAAAAAAAAAAAGATAATTTTCAATAAGCCATTCGTTTTTATTAGGTTGAGTAATACATAATTTCAGGTTTTATTTATCAAATTTATTCTTCAAAAAATAAAACACAATTAATTTTTATTCTATTAAACATTCACCGTTATCTGAAATGACTTGCATCCACTTAGCATTCAAAAAAGATAGGGAAAAAAAATTTTGGCGAAATCTTGAATCAGGTTTTGATTAGAGAATTTTTTTTCTCGTCAACTCATTTTGAAGCGATCCAAAATGGTAATAAATAGGTTGAGTGAAAAACATTTCCTATGTGATCTTCGTTCTGTGACATTGCTTTGTAATAGAGGAGAACAAGGTACGTTCACAAAGAACTATTTGAACTGCGAGGTAAGATTGTTTTATTTAGGGAGGTACGTTCGAGTAGTGGATAGCAGTTCGGATTAAGGGATCAGATTCCAGTCGAATCCGTTACATTCACTTACGTGCTAATACCCTTGGGAAAGGTATTAATCCTTTTTCACCTCACCCTCAGCTATGAGTAAATAGCAGGACAGACAAGGTTCTATAGCATCGGATGGAAACTGGTCTAGCCCAGAAAGAAATGGCAACCTACTGACGGACAAAAAATCTGCCTCGTCAGTCATGTATCGAAAGATACATGATCGCTTAATCGTGTATCAAGTATGATACATAAATGACTTAGGAGGACGGTGGAGTAATGAATAGTGGCTCGGACTGAGTAATCGGAGAGCCGAGTTCGAATTCTAGTGGAATCCATTACATTCACTTACGTGCTAATATCTTTGGGAAGGATATGAATCCTCTTCTTCTTCAGGACAGACCGCGTTCTATAGACTTGGATGGCAACTGGTCTACCGCAGAAAGAAATGGCAACCTACTGTGGAAAAAATCTGCCTCGTCAGTCATGTATCGGAAGATACATGATCGCCTAAGCGTGTATCACGCATGGCACATAACTGACTTTGGAGGCACGGTGGAGTAATCGATAGCGGCTCGGACTGAGGAATCCATTCGA